GGGGCCCTCTGGTATAAGGTTGGGGGGGGCCCTCTGGTATAAGGTGGGGGGGTACTCTGGTATAAGGTGGGGGGGGTACTCTGGTATAAGGTGGGGGGCCCCTCTGGTGTTGGGGATTCTGGGACCCCTGTACAGGGCTGATGGTGTTTGTCCCCCTGGCAGGTATCTCTTGGTCTATAAAGGAGACGTCCTCCAGCAGCCGGGGACTGGACACAAGGACTCCGGGGACAGAGAAGTCTCGGCCTGAGCCGTCCTCCTACCTCCCCAAGCCGGTGTCCTCCTATTCCATCGGCAGCCTCTTTAAAGGTGAGTCGGGTGCATTGCGTCCCTTCCTGGGCTGCTTGTGACTTGCTTTGTATGGTGAGATCTGAGCTGCTGCCTCTGTATTGCAGGAAAGTCCCGGCAGAGCAGCTTCCAGTCCTTGTCTGACGGTGAGTGGGGTTTCCTGTTCCTCTGCCCGTGTCCTCTGCCCGTGTCCTCTGCCCGTGTCCTCTGCCCGTGTCCTCTGCTCGTGTGGCAGGGGGGACCCTGTGGGTAGAGGGGAGGCAGGGGGGACCCTGTGGGTAGAGGGGAGGCAGGGGGGACCCTGTGGGTAGAGGGGAGGCAGGGGGGACCCTGTGGGTAGAGGGGAGGCAGGGGGGACCCTGTGGGTAGAGGGGAGGCAGGGGGGACCCTGTGGGTAGAGGGGAGGCAGGGGGGACCCTGTGGGTAGAGGGGAGGCAGGGGGGACCCTGTGGGTAGAGGGGAGGCAGGGGGGACCCTGTGGGTAGAGGGGAGGCAGGGGGGACCCTGTGGGTAGAGGGGAGGCAGGGGGGACCCTGTGGGTAGAGGGGAGGCAGGGGGGACCCTGTGGGTAGAGGGGAGGCAGGGGGGACCCTGTGGGTAGAGGGGAGGCAGGGGGGACCCTGTGGGTAGAGGGGAGGCAGGGGGGACCCTGTGGGTAGAGGGGAGGCAGGGGGGACCCTGTGGGTAGAGGGGAGGCAGGGGGGACCCTGTGGGTAGAGGGGAGGCAGGGGGGACCCTGTGGGTAGAGGGGAGGCAGGGGGGACCCTGTGGGTAGAGGGGAGGCAGGGGGGACCCTGTGGGTAGAGGGGAGGCAGGGGGGACCCTGTGGGTAGAGGGGAGGCAGGGGGGACCCTGTGGGTAGAGGGGAGGCAGGGGGGACCCTGTGGGTAGAGGGGAGGCAGGGGGGACCCTGTGGGTAGAGGGGAGGCAGGGGGGACCCTGTGGGTAGAGGGGAGGCAGGGGGGACCCTGTGGGTAGAGGGGAGGCAGGGGGGACCCTGTGGGTAGAGGGGAGGCAGGGGGGACCCTGTGGGTAGAGGGGAGGCAGGGGGGACCCTGTGGGTAGAGGGGAGGCAGGGGGGACCCTGTGGGTAGAGGGGAGGCAGGGGGGACCCTGTGGGTAGAGGGGAGGCAGGGGGGACCCTGTGGGTAGAGGGGAGGCAGGGGGGACCCTGTGGGTAGAGGGGAGGCAGGGGGGACCCTGTGGGTAGAGGGGAGGCAGGGGGGACCCTGTGGGTAGAGGGGAGGCAGGGGGGACCCTGTGGGTAGAGGGGAGGCAGGGGGGACCCTGTGGGTAGAGGGGAGGCAGGGGGGACCCTGTGGGTAGAGGGGAGGCAGGGGGGACCTCTGGGTAGGGACATGCCGCCATTCACCTTGTAATACATATTCCAGGACTACAATGGGGAATGGAGCGTTGAGGACACAGTGCGGAGGATGAGCAGAGGAAAGGTATGTTTTGTCTTCTGGCCGCCATTATGTATAATAAAACTTCCCTGGGAGAGAGATTTCCCCTCACTTCCTGTACACAGCCCACTTCCTGTCTGGTTGGAGCACGGTGTCACCCCTGTGCTTCTCCTGGCCCGGAATGGCCGCAGTCCCTGAAGCATGTTGTGTCCGGGCAGGTCTGCTCCCTGGAGAGGTTCCGCTCACTCAAGGACAAGCTGCAACTTCTGGATGAAGCCGTCCGACTCCACGATGGAAATGTCATCACTGCTGTAAGTAGAAGGCGGGTCTCGTCTGCATTGTAATGGGCGTGGTCTAGTTTATGAAATGGGTGTGGCCAAAGCAAAACATGGCCAGAGTATATCAGGAGAGGAGAGTTATAGAGGAAGGAGCAGAGTCCTCCAGCAGAGCAGAGTATCTCAGGAGAGGAGAGTTATAGAGGAAGGAGCAGAGTCCTCCAGCAGAGTATATCAGGAGAGGAGAGTTATAGAGGAAGGAGCAGAGTCCTCCAGCAGAGTA